ATTTTTCTGAAATTTTTCTGTTTTGCCTTTCCTAGACTGATAATTACAAAAATGCCGGACCGGACCTTATCGGGGTTTCACCTCAAAAGTTGTTTTGTCCTCCCATCTAGTTTATACATTGGTCCTCATCCCAATTTTTAATTCCCTATGTCCAGGTGAGATTTTCTTGGGATGTGACAGAGGATATGAAATTCTTTCATTAAACACACAATATTACAAGATTTTCATCCTTTTCTAGCTCTTAATCATCAAACTAACCTTAAATTATTCTTAGCTTTCTATATGTAAATTTGGACATGATCAAGGCTTAGGATTTCTAAATTCCAAAACTTAATAAAAACCATAATCAAGCTCACCAACAAAAATAACAGCATAAACAACAACTAAGTCCAATCGTTACCTAGAGTTTGAGCTTGATTTACTTGAGGTTCCTAATTCCTTTCCTTTTCTTATTCTTCCTCTTCTCTCTTGGCCAAAAATTCTCAAGTAAATGAAAGAGGAGAGGTATAATATCTTGAAAATTTAACTACATTGGAAGGTTGTCTCAAGTCCACACTTTGCCTCCAAACTTCGTTAAAATTACACAGGTGGGGTGTTATCATCTTAGATTCCACAATTGTCTCTTAATTCCATTGAAATGTGGCTTGAATTCCATTAACTAAATTGTAAGTCATTGGAAATCCAAAATATTATTTTATTCCATTTTCATCACATGTTTCTCTTGAAAAATTCTCACCAATAATCATGCAAAAGGTGGCACCAAGATAAGAAGGAGAAAGGAAGGAAAATAACTTTTTTTGAGCCTCAAGCTATTATACAAAATCAGATAGCAAAATTATCTCGTAATCTTATCTCGTAATCTAAAAATATCTCACCATTAATGAGTTCAAATGGTGTCATAATGAATATTTCTTTATAATAATATAAATTTGACTAATATTTTTTGGATGCTGCCTAAGTCCAAAATTTTATCCCTTTGCTCCATTAATTCTCATTCATTGTGGGAAGTTGTCTAATTTTTTTAAAGTTAAAACTTGGCTAGGAAGTACTACTTTTTAAATTTCTCGAAAATTGCCTCCTTTTGACATAATTAGGCTTTAAATATTTTTTAAAGTCAACCTTCTCATCTCTTGGGGATGGAACAATTTTTATAATCTCATAGAAACTCTATTCTAATTGTTTCCCTTTTTATCCAAATGTCTGAGGCCTACACATATTTAAAACAATTTATTTTGGCTAATTCCTCCTCAAATAACCAAAATTCTCATAATTACATAAATTATTTTCTAAGATATTTTTTAAAACCTTTTAAGCCTCAAATGTTACTTGAGACATCTTTCTCTATTTTTCATAAATTTATGGTACAATTGACAGCACTGTTGGGTGGTGGATGTTTCCTGAAAAAGCATTTTGATGGCTAGAAAAGGGAGTCGAAGTGGTAGGGTTGCCAAGGATTCATGTAAAGACAAAGTCTTGATATGGATTCAAAATGTCAAGAGGTGCCAATTAGCAGGTATTTATAAGACATACATGACAGTTGTGTGCTTAAAACGACATTTATTTTAAAAAAAGATGACATTGTGTTAGCAAAACCATAATTCATGTAACGTAATTAAAATTCTAATACATGATGGTTTGTTTTAAAATAATCGTCATGTATTTTAACTCTTTTCAGCGGCCCCTATTAAAGAATTAAAAAAATGAAAAAAATGAAAAGATAACAACAGAGAATGAAAAGGGAAAAAAAAACCTAAATTTGCTAAACTTCCTTCTTGTCATCATCCTTCTCATCATCGCCAAAAGATGAAAAAAGATCTTAGGAATCATTTTGATCGACTCTAATCTTCTCACTCACTTTTTTCGTCTTCTCGTCTAGAAACTGCACTAACTCGGTGAGTTCATTATGTTTGGCCTTCGTGCATCGAGCCTCTTCATGCACAAACTAATGGACGATCTCATGGAGTTCTCTAATGACATTCACAAGCACCTCGTCATGATGAAGAGTAGTGCTAGTAGTATTGGAAGCCTCATCAGATCTCTAGCATTTGGACAACATGGTTGCTTTGGTGATTGAATGGTAGAAATGAAAATAGACAAAATATAATGAAGAACTGGTCATTAAGATTGGAATCTAAATAGAGTTTTCAAATTCAAAGTAACGATTTCCAAAATTTGAAATTAAAGCAAGGAAGAAGTTTAAGATGCGGGAGCACCAGTCCTTTAAAATGCTATGTATGATAGTTTTATATTGAGAGCCATGATATATTGGTTTCATTTTTCTTTTATTAAAATATGTCAGTGATAAGCAACGGTTGTGTAAGTTAATTGTCATGTACTTGTTCGCACAATCTCCGTCTTACCATATGTGACGGTCCTGTGTTTTAATAACCATGTTTTAGGCATCATATATTTGAAAATATGTAATAATGCTACTAAAGTGGTCTACTAGTTTTAAGAAGCTTATTTATAATGCTTTAAAAGTTAAATTTTCACCAACGGAAGATGAATCTAATGGAAGAGACTCCTTGAGTAGACAATTTCTAATGGCAGAGGAAGTGAATTCTAGGGATACTTAAGTAATTTAAATTTTTCGGATTCCACCTGAGCGTATATTTGATTAGTTTATGATGAACTGAAATAAAATGGAGCCATCATTAACGTGGAATCGGGTAGAATAGAATGGAATGCTTAATTGTTTGGGAGTTTTATTGGGGAAGTGAGCCAAGTAACTTTGAAGTCATCAAGGAAAAGTGATTCTAAAATTCTCAGATTCATGAGTTTACTCATGACAAGCACGTGAACTCAGATCATAACCTAGCAAGAATTTGTTCATTTACCTGTATCAGCAAATAGTTGCTAACAGTATATGATTAAATGATTAAAATACAAAAGAGTAGAGCAATTTGGTTTAAACATATTCCACATTCAAATCATTGAAGAGTAGAGCAATTTGGTTTATAAACATATTCCACATTCAAATCATTGAAATGTTTTTAGATAAAAAAAGCAATTATATTATAAAATAAAAGGTAAAATGTTCAAAATACAAGTTTAATAGGAAAGTCCCATGAAGTGAACCCCTTTAAAAATAAAAAAATATTTTTTTAAAAAATCAAATCATTGAAATGAGATATATTAATATGTTCATAATTTATCATACTCAACATAGAATATTAGCTTCTAAGAAATTCAAAGGTTGTACTAATATTGGTTTCTATTTTTTTATGTTTTTTTACTGCATCCTTAGTTCTACATAGTATATATTTGACTCAATAAAAATGACAAACAAAGTCACTCGCGAATTCAATTGAGTCTGTAATTAGTTTAAGTTAACATGCGAACTGATATGTTTTTTTTTTTTTAAACCAATTGATATACTTTTGTAAGCTTAAAATATTAAAATGGTAAAGTCAAAGAATCAACTCATGAATTTGACTATAATGTTCCATGAACGTTGAAGCTCACTTTCAAATTCTACCCAACCTTTGTTTTTAAAAAAAATTAAAATTTTATATTGCTTCCGTCCTTTATTAGAACTAACCTATCTTTTTTACCCCAAAAAAAAAAAAAAGAACTAACCTATCTTTCTGGTATCAAAGTGTCATTCTGCCTAAGGAAGCGAGACGTTGATAGGAAATCTTTGTTCTTAGACGAAAAATGTAAAGAAGAAGAAACCTTAATTGTAGGTTATATTCATTATTTACTTAGTTTTCCTCTAAATTTGATTTTTTTTTTAAAAAACTCAGTTTACCTTTTAACAATAATCGACACAGTTATGATTCAAACACACCTCTTTTCCAGCATATCAAAAAATGATTCAGACACACCTAGCATGTTTGAAGAGAAAAACACACTCTTTCCAATCCCTTTTATAAGATATGAATAACTAATTTTTAGAGTTCAAAGAATATAATTAAAGATAGTTAAATTAATAAATATGCTAAGAATATAACTTTTTTTTTTAGAAATACCCTCATTTTATAGATGATTTACATATTTTAATAATTGATTTCACTAACAGATTAACAAATACTCTTTTAACGAGGGTGTAACAGGAAAATTTTAATAAATTCTCCGTATAGTAAGTTGTTTCTTATAATTAGAATCAATAGAAATCACAAAAAAATTTCTTAAAAGAAGTAATAAACGTAAAAAAAAAAATGGGAAAAAGATCGTCAGATTTCTCAAAAACCATCTTCAAAATTTGAATGCAACCCAACCACCCCGTCTGTTTTACTCTCTCCTCTCACGCTCAATTCACTTTCATTTTCCATTTCGTTCCCTGACTTGTTAACCATTTCAAAATGCATACAAGTCTTCTATTATATCCAAATTATGTATTCAAATCACTTATCAAATGGGGCATTTCCCCCATTGGTTTCTATTATTCAATTCAAAAAATCAGCAAACGTAGACAATATTCTGTTATATTCTATGGCCACTTTCTTCAGATTTTCTCCCATATTTATTGGCAAATTATATATGTTTTTATATCAAGATAGTGACGTGCGATTATTTTATTTAATTAGAGACACTTGTGTCAATTTTACTTGACGTAATATGAGCTTGACCGTTGACAAGGAACATATTATAAACATTTAGCCAACAAGTTGAGTGCAGCAAAATATATTCATTAAGTGTGCCATCAATAATAAAGACTTTTTCCTGGAAATTACAGCTCAGTAATGGAGGGTATTGTTGAGAAGTTGAAAATGATTGATATAGTTAAGTGAAAAATTTAGGTTTTCTTGACCAAGACGATATGTAGCGTGAAAAATTAGTAACATGTTGGCCACCTTGGAAGATCACGCATATTAGTGGACGGCAGATGGCGGTCAAGGCTGCTATTTGCATTAGATATCCTTTAACTTCCTGACTCTAAGAGATATTATATTATTAATGCATTTTCAAGAAGAGAGATGAAAGAAAAAAGTCAGGTTATTTCCCTTTTCATCATGAAAATAGCAGTCATCGGGAGGCAAGAGACAGACAATGAACCGGTTGAAAAACCAATATATGCTTCATGAACCCGTTTGAAAGGCATAAACCCATGAAGGAAAATTATGACAAGGGAAGAGACAGACAGACAAAATCCTCACTTCATTTCTAACAAAGTACTAATCCAATGGGTGTCACAGTTTATACAGAAGTTTTAGGTATTTTCCTCATATGTGCTTGCTATTTTTCATTTTTAGCCTTTGGCTTAGATACTCTTACAGCATCTGAGAGCATGAGAGATCCCGATACTCTAACCTCTGATAGCACCAACTTTACACTTGGATTTTTTAGCCCTGACAACTCATCCAATCGTTACCTAGGAATTTGGTACATGGTAAAGGCCACAGTGGTATGGGTGGCTAACAGAAACGAACCACTCACAGATTCTTCTGGGATGCTCAAGATATCTGAAAGTGGCAATCTTGTGATACTAGATGGAAAGGAACGTGCTGTTTGGTCATCAGATGGATCAGACAATGACACATCTCATGTCATATTGCAGCTGCAGGATTCTGGAAATCTTGTGCTGCAGAACAATATCACAGGAAAAGTGATATGGCAAAGCTTCCACCATCTTTCTGATACAATGCTGCAACGCACTAATGGTGGTTATAATGCACAAGTAGGTCAGAAATACATGTTGACGTCATGGAAGAGCCCTTCTGATCCATCAATGGGAAGCTTTACAGCTTCTATGGGACCTAGTACAGTTCCTCAAACATTTGTTTGGAACAACAGTCGCCCATATTGGCGTGGAGGTCCGTGGAATGGTCAAATTTTCACTGGCATACCCAATTTGTACGATCAGTATCTCAATGGATTAACTTTGCAAAAAGTAAATGGTACTTTCTATTTATATTTTGTATATATAAACCTCTCTCCTTTATCATTCTATAAGCTGAACTCTGAAGGGAAACTGGTATTTCATAACTGGGATGACAATAAGAAAGAGTGGGTGCCGCAGTGGACAGTGCAGCAATCAGACTGTGACATTTATGGCATTTGTGGATCATTTGGAAGCTGTAATCCACAAAGAAACCCAATTTGTAGCTGTCTGAGAGGTTTTGTTCCAAAAAATGCTGAAGAGTGGAATAAAGGAAACTGGAATAGTGGATGCGCAAGGAGGAAGCCATTGAAGTGTGAAAGACTCAAAAATGAGAACAGAAACGGACATGATGATGATGGGTTTGTGCAGTTAAAGAATACCAAAGTTCCAGACCTACCAAATGGGACTTTCACTGTATCAGCATCACCAGATTGCAGAATCCAGTGCTTGAACAATTGTTCCTGCTTAGCATATGCCCATGATGCGGGCATTGGTTGTATGATGTGGAGTGAAAAACTGATTGACACACAAAGGCTGTCAAGTGGTGGTCTCGACCTGTACATTCGTCTGGCAGATTCAGAACTGAGTAACTTATCAATTTCTTAACTCAATGCTTGAAATCTAATCCCTCAACTTCTCTGCAAAATGAGACTAATGATTTTTGTTTTCATGTGATGCAGAGGAAAAGAGTAGATTAGCAGTGATAATTTTGATTCCATCGGCAGTCGGAATAATTCTAATCGCAGCATGTGCATATGCAATATGGAGACGCTCTGTTAAGCATCAAGGTATTGAGCTCAAGAATCAAGAACAACAAATGATTTGATATAGTAATTTAAACTAAAATGTTGCAGCTCAATCGAAAAAAGTGTCTCTTGTCGATACATTTTATGGTTCAAAACAAGATTAATTCTCATTTGCGTGACATTGCGCAAGGCCCTCAATATGGGATTGACTTCTTATCAATTTAACTATCACTTAAGGATATTTCTCATTTGTATTCTATAACTTAAGCTATGAATGTGGTCTTTCACTTTCAACTATTGAATCTGAAGTAATTTTGGATTCCAAAAGAAAAGCTGATACTATAATATCATAATATGTTATCAAAATGAAACTATGAATGTGGGCTTTCACTTTCAACTACTGAATCTGAAGTAATTTTGGATTCTAAAAGAAAAGCTGATACTATAATATCATAATATGCTATCAAAATGAAACTAAGGATTCACTTAAAAATGACTAAGCAAACACATATTCAAGGTTAATTCAACTTTCAATTTAATTAATTTTGGGTGACATTTTGCTAGGCAAAAAAGGGTGACATTTTGCATTAGTTACTATATTCTCTTTTCATATTGCCATTATATTACATTTCACAGGCCTCCTGCATTTTAATGGGCTTTGCGGGCAAAAATAGTAAAGCCACAAAAAAAGTCATCCAGTAGATATAGATTTTCTGTTTGTTTTTTAAATCTAAAATGAATGCAACTCCTTGTTTTCCCCCATTCTAAATGCAAATGATTATTATTGCCACAAACAGAAGAACCATTGACAATAGCAGAGAACGAAATCAATAGCCAGATGCTGAAGGAACTACAACTGTTTGAATTTGAAAAGCTTGCAGCTGCAACCAACAACTTTCATTCTGCTAATAAGATTGGGCAGGGTGGTTTTGGTCCAGTATACAAAGTATGCCTAGCCTTATAATGCTCATCTTCTATGAACTTTTAAAAGGTTATCAGGAAGTTTTAAAAATATTCCTGCAGGGAAAATTGCAAGACGGACAAGAAGTTGCAGTTAAAAGACTTTCAAGTGTAACAGGACAAGGACGCGAAGAATTTATGACTGAGGTGGTGGTGATTTCTAAACTTCAGCATCGCAATCTCGTGAGACTTCTTGGTTGCTGTGTAGAAGGAGGTGAAAAGATGTTAATTTATGAATACATGCCAAATAAAACTTTGGCTGCCTATCTCTTTGGTTAGTAGGTTTTACCATTTGACTTTTCTCTATTTTTCAAGTGCCCTAAGTTCTATGAAAAAGAGATCTTTGTTAAAAATATGCACATAAATTAGGGAAGCAAGAGCAAATACTTGATTAATCATTGTCGATTCTAGTTTCCTCAACTTCAGCTTTTGGTGATTCAAAAAGCTTTTCTTTCCACTTGGGATATATTGCAGATCCACTCAATGGTGATGTCTTGAATTGGCAAAAGCGTTATCATATAATAGAAGGAACTGCTCGAGGTTTGCTCTATCTTCACAGAGATTCAAGACTAAGAATTATACATAGAGATCTTAAGGCAAGCAACATCTTATTGGATGAAGAGCTAAATCCCAAGATATCAGATTTTGGTACAGCAAGGATCTTTGGAGTTAGCAAAGATGAGGACTATACAAGAAGAGTAGTTGGAACATAGTAAGTTAACATTTTCAATTGTACTTAGTATAAAACTCCAATATTCTCCCAAAGCTAATTGCTTCAATGTTTGAAACTTAAATATGAACGCAGTGGCTATATGCCTCCAGAATATGTAATAGAGGGCATTTTTTCTGAGAAATCAGATGTCTTTAGTTTTGGAGTTTTGCTATTGGAGACAATTAGCGGGAGAAAAAATACAAGCTTCCACAATGATCAGCAACCTTTGAGTCTCCTAGGATTTGTAAGTACTCTGTTTCAAAAATTTAACTTTTCAACATTAGAGTTTGCATCTAAAGATCATGGTTACTTCTGCTTTCAGGCGTGGAAACTATGGAATGAAGAGAATATCAAACCTTTGATAGATCATACGATATATAACCCACAATTTGAAAAGGATATTATGAAATGCATACATATCGGGTTATTGTGTGTGCAAGAACTTGCAAAGGATCGACCTACCATGGATTCTGTGATCTTAATGCTGCAAAGCAAGATTGTCAATTTGCCTTTCCCCAAGCAACCTGCCTTCATCAATTGGCAGGCTGCACTTGCAGAGAGTTCCCAGAATGAACATAAATCTAGCTCGAATAATCATGTCACTATCACAAACATCCAGGGCAGATAGAACTATCCTTTCATTTCATTTCATTTCTAATCATGTTATTGATGACATCTTTTATCATGATTTTATGATGTCTTTAGGACTTGAACAATGTAATGTATGCTCCTGTGCGACACTTTAATTGTAAATGGTGAATTGGCTCCTTGAAATTCACGAACTACCAACTTTTGAAAACTACGGAGGACCAGAGCTGTGTCCTAAAGTTTTTGAGCGCTAGGCGAATTCACTAAAAAAGCCTACGGTGATATTAATTATCAATGACAATATTATTCTTCTAGCTTTTTGAACTGCAAGATCACTTATTAATGATTTATAATCAAGTAATTTAACATCTCATTTTCCAATGATAATACGGCTAATCCACTTAATCTATCTGATCATATAGCTGATTTTAAGTATAATCTAATCAATTTTAATTTTGAAAAACTTCTTTTAGACTTGTTAATAATATTCCTTTTTAATGACCTCTACCCACACCCCACTAATCTAATCTTTTGATATAGTTTAACACTTCTATAAGAGTATCAATTTCTTCTGTTGAATTCTCTCAATACCCTAAAATCAGAAAATAAATCAAGACCATCAATATCGGATCAAAATGTTAACTAAAACTTGAAAACTTCTCAAGATTAATACAATATATATTTTTTCAATTGACCATCATCTAAACTTTAATTTTTATAAAATATTTCTTATATTTATTTTCAATTTATATTGTACTAGCCACTAGTTGTATTAGATATAATCTAACACTTTTTTCTTTTTCCACTAGCTACACACATATATATTCCATGGCACTCCCTTGTACATATGTGATAAGGAGACGTTCTGCTGAACATCAAGGTATTGAACACAAGAATCAAGAGAAATAAATGTTTTGATCATAGTAATTTAAGCTAAAATGTTGCAGCTCAATTGAAACAAAGTGTCTCTTGTCCATACATTTTATGGTTTAAGAGAAGATTTGGTTTCCCTTGAAAGTGCTTTTGAAAAGCACTTTTACGCACGTTGAGATAAAACTTCTCTCCTATATTTGTTTCGTATATTGTAAAATCACTTTTAAAACCATAATTTGGTTTTCAGCCAAACACACCCTAATTCTCAATTGCTCAAACCTGTGACATTGAGCAAGGCACTCAACATGGGATTGACTTGTGAATTTAACTACCACTTCAGGTTAGTTCTCATTTGTATGCTATAAATTAAGTTGTGAATGTGGTCTCACTTTCAACAATTGAATCTGAACTCATTTTGAATTCTAAAAGAAAGATGATACAATAATGCTATCAAAATGAAACTTAAAGATTCATTTGAAAAAAAATTAAGGCAATGGTCATAATCAAGGTTTATTCAACTTTCAGTTGAATTGATTTTGCATGACATTTTGCATTAGTTACTACATTCTATTTTCATATTGCCATTACATTACACCTTAAAGGTCTCCTGCATTTTAATGGTCTTTGGGGGTATAAATAGTAAAGCCACAGAACAAGGCATCCAATAGATACAGATTTTCTTCCCCCCCCCCCCCCCAAAAAAAAAAAACCTTAACCAAATGTGTCTGCTTGTTTTTGCTCATTCTGAATGTAAATAATTATTATTGCCACAAACCAAAGAACCATTGAAATTAACAGAGAACGAAATCTCTAGTGATAAGCTGAAGGAAATACAACTGTTTGAATTTGAAAAGCTTGCAGCTGCGACCAACAACTTTCATTCTGCTAATAGGATTAGACAGGGTGGTTTTAATCCAGTATACAAACTATGGCCAGCCTTATAATGCTCATCTTCTATGAAATTACGAAGGTTATATAAAAGCTTTGCAAATATTCTTGTAGGGAAAGTTTCAAGATGGACAAGAAGTTGCAGTTAAAAGACTTTCAAGTTTAGCAGGACAAGGACGTGAAGAATTTATGACTGAGGTGGTGGTAATTTCTAAACTTCAGCATCACAATCCCATGAGACTTCTTGATTGTTGTGTGGGAGGTGAAAAAATATTAATTTATGAATTCATGCCAAATAGGAGCTTGGCTGCACATCTCTTCGGTTGGTAGGTTTTACTTTCTTTATTTTATAAGTGCCCCAACAATAGTTTTATGAAAAAGAGATCTTTGTTCAAAATATGCACATAAATTAGGGAAGCAAGAGGAAATACTTGATTCATCCTCGTAGATTTTAGTTTCCTCAACTTTAGCTTTTGGAGATTCAATAAGTTTTTCTTTCCACTTGCAATATACTGCAGATCCACTCAATTACGATGTCCTTGATTAGCAAAAGCGTTATCATATAATAGAAGGAACTGCTTGAGGTTTGCCCTACCTTCATAGAGATTCAAGACTGAGAATTATACATAAAGATCTCAAGGCAAGCAACATCTTATCGGATGAAGAGCTAAATCCTAAGATAGATTTCAGTACAGCAAGGATTTTTGGAGTTAGCAAAGATGAGGGCTATACAAGAAGCATAGTTGGAACATAGAAAGTTAACATTTTCAGCTGTAGTAGTATAGAACTCCAAATGTTCTCCTAGAGTTAATTTCTTCAATGTTTACAACTTAATACAAATGCAGTGGCTAGATAGTTCCATCATATGCAACAGAAGATTTCCCCGCCCCCGCCCCCGCCCCCAAAAAAGAAATCAAATATCTTTAGTTTTGGAGTTTTGTTATTGGAGACAATCAGCAGGAGGAAAAATACAAGCTTTGAGCCTCTTAGGATCTATAAGCACTCTATTTCAAAAATTTAACTTTTCAAGTATTAGAGTTCATATCTAAAACTCATGGTTACTTGTGTTCTCAGGTGTGGAAACTATGAAATGAAGAGAATATGATACCTTTGACAGATCATACGATAAATAACCCATATTTTGAAAAGGATATTATGAAATGCATACATATCAAATTATTGTGCGTGCAAGGATTACTGTGCGTGCAAGAACGACCTACCATGGATTCTGTAATCTCAATGCTGCACAACAAGATTGTCAATTTGCCTTCCCCATGCAACCTGCCTTCCTCATTGACAAGCTGCACTTGCATAGAGTTTCCAAAATGTTAGTAAGGATTGGGCTGTGGGGCTCAAAGCTCTAAACCTAATTAGCGTTGCGGCCTAAAACCCTAACCCTAATTTGTGTTAGTTATTGCAATTCAAATTTCAGATGTAACCTTAAGATTTTGGCCTTCTACCCCTCATCTAGATAGGGCTACTGTAACCTATTTAAATTCTACTGCTTCATTCGAATAAAATTAACTCAAAACCACAAGGGTTCTTTATGGTATCAAAGCAACATGATTAGATTTGGTATGGGCCAAATAAAACCTAACCTAGCACCAACAAACCCCACTGGTTTGGCAGCCAATGTGACCAGCAATCCTAGTGCATTTGAGACCCATCCTTCCTCTATTACCATTCATTGCCTCAATGGCGAGAATTATCTCCAATGGGCTGCTAGTGTGAGGCTATTAGTCATAGGTAGAGGCAAGTATGGATACCTTACTGGAACTACAGAAAAACCAACAACCACAGATGAAAAATATGCAAATTGGGAAGCTGAAAACTCAATGGTGCAGGTGTGGCTTATTAACACTGTGACCACAGAAATCAGCGCACACTTCTCTTTCTTTCAAATGCACAAGAAGTATGGGATGCAGCCAGAGATATGTTTGCTGCTGTCAAAAACAAGGCTGCTATCATTGAAATTGAACGATTTCTACATGATTTCAAGAAGGGCAACCTTTCAGTGACTCAATACTACTCTGAATTAGTTGTCAAATGGAAGCAACTTGATTCTTATGAGGCAGCTGCTTGGAAGTGTGTTGGAGATGTTGCAATATATACAAAAATTAAAGAAGGAAAAAGGGTCTTCAAATTTCTTCTTGGATTAGATGCATCTTTTGAAGAAGTTCGTGGGAGAATAACGGGACTTGAAGAATTGCCCTTTCTCCGTGAAGTCTTTTTCATTGTGAGGAGTGAAGAAAGCTGGAAGAAATTAGTGAGTAGTGACAATTCCAATGAAACGAGCCAACCGAGTGCCCTAATATCCAAAGGTGCAACTCATGATGACAATAAGAAACAGAATAGATGGTGTGATTATTGCAGAAAAAAAAGTCACACAAGAGAGATTTGTTGGAAGCTGAATGGAAAACCTCCAAAGAGAGGAAAGCAAGAAGGTCGAGGATATTTAGGAACTACTGATGGGAAAAGTAAATCAGAATTTACCAAAAAAGAACTGGATCTACTTAGAAGATTTCTAGAGAAACATGATTCTCAAGAGAATCCACAATGTTGTGAAGTTTTCTTCATCTTTATCTACTAGATGTGATAATAAAGAGGCACTGTTATGGCACTATAGACTATGTCATTCCGGTTTTCATTACATGTCAAAGTTGTTCCCTCATCTTATGAATAAAAGTGATTAATCTTTCATTTGAGGACCTCCTTGAATTCCCTCTTTATCTCAAGCTAAACGGTTTGTCACGTTTATTGATAACCACACTCACCTCACGTGGGTGTTCCTTACGAAAGAAAAATCTGATTTGCCTTCCATTTTTATCAAATTTCACAAAATGATTACAACATAGTTTCAAACCCAAATTTTAACACTTCGCAGCGACAATGGCCGAGAATACCGAAGCCAAAACCTTCAAAATTATCTCCAAGATCAAGCCATAGTTCACTAGACCAGCTGTGCTAACACCCCCAGTATAATGGAACAACAGAACACAAAAATAGACACATCCTAGAAGTAACTCGAGCCCTTATGTTTATTCATAATGTTCCCAAACAATATTGGGGAGAAGCTGTCCTCACAGCTGGGCATCTTATAAATAGACAACCCCCCCCCCCCAAAACCCTCAATTTTAAGACACTAATGGACCTTCTTACACAAACCTACCAAACACTTTACCTGCCACCAATCTTCCTTTGAAAGTTTTTGGATGCTTAGCCTATGTTTATCACAAAGAGGGAGGCAAATTTGAAACCTGAGCCATTAAATGTCTATTTTTAGGATATTCAACATCACAAAAGGGCTACAATTGCTACTCTCCCTCACTTCGAAAATACTTTGTCACCATGGATGTTAAGTTTGTCGAGGATCAAGCATATTACACTAATTCTCCCATTCAGGGGGAGAATATATGCAAATGGGAGCCTTTACAACATTACCAGCCTAATATTACACCAGAACCCAATCCTATTGAACCTAATCCTAACCTAAGCCTTCTACACCCTGAAATCACAAGCCATACCAAACTTGAATCTGTTTCCATTCCAGAATCTAACCCAAAATTACCATCCCCTCTATTCGAACCTAGAATAGTGCCTAATGATGCCTTGCCGAACACTGTAATGGAGGAATCTGAGGCCGAAATAGATAATGCTGAAGAGGAAGAAGTCATTCCAAACAGTAGGGATCTTCCTGAGTGATGGTAGGGTCAAGACTCAACCTAATCTTTAGTTCCTGATGATCTCGGCTGGCCAATTGCACTTAGAAAAGGGGTAAGACAGTGCAATATGCACCCTATTAGCCATTTTGTTTCTTATGACAAGCTATCTACTTGTATGAAAAGTTTTGTGAGTAAACTTAAAGAAGAGAAAGTTCCTTCTCATTTTGATGAAGTGTCAAAGGTCCAAGGTGGAAAGTTGCTATTGATGAAGAGCTCAAGGCTCTTGAAAAGAATAAGACGTGGACTATAGTTCAAATACCACCAGAAAAGAAGGCTGTAGAATGTAAGTGGGTCTTTACAATAAAATACAATTTAGATGGATCTATAAACAAGTTCAAAGCCAAACTTGTAGCAAAAGGATTCTACCAAACCCAAGGTATTGATTACCAAGAAATATTTGTACCAGTGGCAAAATTGAATACTATTAGAATATTACTATCCCTAGCTAGCTGCCAACCTTGATTGGCCATTGCACCAACTGGATGTGAAAAATGCATTTTTAAATGGAGATCTTGAAGAAGTTATTATGAGGATCCCTGAAGGGCTAGCAGAATATGCGAATCTCAATAAGGCTTGCAGATTATATAAATCTCTTTATGATTTCAAGCAATCACCAAGAGCATGGTTTGAGAGATTTACAAAACTGGTGAAGAGTTCACGTTATATTCAATGTCAATCTGATCATTAACTATTTGTCAAGCACTCAGGTATGAAAGTTGCTATTTTAATTGTAGATGCTGATAATATTATGACAACTAGAGATGTTTTTGGAGAAATATAAAAGTTGAAAAAGACTCTAGCCACTACATTTGAGGTTAAAGACCTTGGACATCTAAGGTACTTTCTTGGAATGAAAATTACCAGATCAAAAGGAGGCATTTCTGTCTCACAAAGAAAGTACACACTTGATTTGCTTAAGGAAATAGGAATGCCAGGAGCTAAACCTTCACCAACTCCTATGGATCCATCTGTTAACCTAGAATTCAAAAAGCATGGTGTGGCAATTGATGCAGAAAGATACAAACGACTAGCGGAAAAACTTATTTATTTGTCCCATACTAGACATGACATAAGCTATGCAGTGGGAGTGGTTTGCCAATTCTTAGCACAACCACAAGAACATCATATGGAAGCCACTTATACAATACTCAAGTATTTAAAGATGACACCAAGAAGAGGAATTTTCTTCAAAAAGGGAGAATCAAGAAATATAGTGGTGTATACCGATGCAAATCATGGAAGAACACGTGTTGACAGAAGATCAATAGGGGGCTACTTTACTTTTGTTTGGGGCAATCTTGTAACTTGGAGAAGTGATAAACAAACTTTAGTCTCAAAAAGCAGCACAGAAGCCAAGTTAAGAGCCCCTTTATGAAGGCATGTGGGTTACCTGAGTATTAAGTGAACTTAAATTCACTATTGATGCACCTATTAAACTATGGTGTGACAGCATGTTTGCAATTCAAATGATTCACAACTCAGTTCATCATGACAAGACTAAACATATGGATATTGATAGACACTTCATAAACGAGAAGATTGAATCAAATATTATTGATCCTTCAGACATAAAAACCTCATTTCAAGTAGATGATATTATTACAAAGCCTCTGGAATAGTCCAAGTTTGAAAACTTCAGAGACAAGCTGGGCACGCTGGGTATCTACTTGCCAGCTTGAGGGGAAGTTTTAGTAAGGATTGGGTTATGGGCCTCAAAGGTCTAACCCTAATTAGTGTTGGAACCTAAAACCCTAACCCTAATTAGTGTTGGTTATTGCAATTCAAATTTCAATTGTAATCTAGGATTGAGGGATATTATTCTGCTTCATCATTCAAACCAGTACCTTTTTTATTTCCTAGGATTTCGGCCTTCTACCCTCAGCTCGATGGAGTTGCTGTAACCTATTTAAATTCTACTGCTTCATTCGAATAAAATTAATTCAGAACCACAAGAGTTCTTCACAAAATGAACATAAATCCAGGTCCAATTATCAAGTCACTATCACAAACGTCTAGGGCAGATAGAAGTATCCTTTTATTTCATTTCTAATCATGTTATTGATGACATCTTTTATCATGATTTTATGGTGTCTTTAGTTAGGACTTGAGCAACTCGTGTGTGAAACTATACTTGTAAATGGTGAATTGGCTCCTTGAAATTCAGGAACTACCAAGTTTTAAAAATTATTGAGGACAAGGGCCGTGTCCTAAAGTTTCTGGGGCTGTAGGTGAAGTGACCAAAGAGGACAAGGGAGATATCAATTATAATATTATTCCTCTAGCTTTTTGAACTTTGAAATCACTCATTAACAATTTATTATCATGTAAGTTAACCTTTCATTTCAAGTGATAATACGGCTAACCAATTAGGAAAAAAGACAATAAAATATTCTAGAAATTGCTAAATGACAAATCAATGTGGGTAAATTTTAAAGTCCTAGGGCAACCCTCTTGTACTATTTTGAAATTTTTAAATCTTGCAAAATGATGCAAATGCCCTTCGCTACTTTTTTGTTTTCTTCTTTTTTTTCTTTTTCAAAGAATGCCACCTTAGCACCCTTAACCGGATTGCGGCTGCCAGAGCTCCATTGACCAGTCACCGAAGCTTTGATGACTATTCTTGCTTAAATATTAACTACTCTTATTTAGCTATTGATTATGTTTGTTTCTAAAATTCTGATAACTACTCTTGTTTAACTATTAACTATTCTAGTATCACAATTGACTACTTTTGTTTTTAAAAATTTAGTTACTACTCTTTGTTCGCTATTAACTACTTTTGTTTTAAAAATTCAAAAAATATATTAAGTACTGTTGAACGTCTGGTTATTACTTTTGTTTAGCTATTTACTACTCTTGTGTAATTAATAGCTATATAAAAATAGTTATCAAAACTCTAAACACAAAAGTAGTCATTAGCAAAACTAAAATAGTCAATAACTAAACAATAATAGTCACTAGTAGTATAAGGGCAATGTTGTTATTTATGAAATTTTAAAATTCTAAAATGGTACGAGGGATCTAATTTGGAATTTTGAAATTCATCTATCATAATTTGTCTTTTAGCATTTTAAGGATATTTTTGTGTCTTTTTCCCATCCATTTAATCTATCTTATAATATAGTTGATTTTAAGTATAATTTAATCAATTTTAGTTTTGAAATACTTCATTTAGCATTAGTGACTACTGTCTACTGCTCGGTATTGTTAATAATATTATTTTTCATAACCTTTACCCACACGTCACTAATCTAATCTTTTGATATAGTTTAACACTTCAATATGAGTATCAATTTCTTCTGTTGAAACTTCTCTCGATACCCTAAAATCAGAAAAACTTCTCTGTTGATATCACTTCAACAGAGGACATTGTATACATCTTCATTCAAATCAAGTATATCGCCTCCATGTTCTTAAAAAGCGATTATAGTATACCTATGCCAGCAAAAAATACAAAAATAGCTGCAGAATCTTCAATTATGGGTTTTCTTTTTTCAATTTTTAACTTCTAGCCAAAATGGGGCTTCCTAGGAGCAGCGGAAGCTTTAGAAATGGAGATTGATCTTGTCTCCTTCAAATCGCAATGCATCTCAAAAGCTATAAAGTACTTTCGAGAAGCAATGTATAGACGAAATATCAATACTATACCCCAAAATAATGCTTGTGTTAGCATAACTTGCGTTCGTCAATCAAAATGTTTTATATATGGGTTAAAAGCTAGAACCAGGAAAGAATGGTAATCAACTCAAACCAAGTAACCGATTGAAGAAATAAAACAGAAAAAGGAAGAACTCACCTAAGAATGGAATAATCGAAGGATGAGTAGGCTTCCGTTTTGGTGTGACGAAAGCTTCTCAAGCCACTCGAATTCAGATGAAGAACAGAGTCGCATGGAACAAAGCAAGCTATTTCCGGCGAGGTGCTTTCGCTGTAATTCTGTAAAGATACTTTTGATTATGACGAAAATGACAAATGAATTCCTGTTAATTGAAATGGCCGATGCCCGATGGAAATGTTGGGCATGCAAGGGGACAGACGGACTGCTTGGGGACGGGAAACGTGGGAGACGGGAATTTCAAGTTTTTTTTTTTTAATGCAGGGATTTTAAGTTTCTAATGATAAATGAATGTTTAATAATATCTTGTTTTGTTTATAGAGAATCAAAGGTCTGGTATGGAAAAGAAGAAGAAGAAGAATTACAATCAGATGCTAAGAAAGAAAATAATTATTAAAAAATCTCAATAACAATTTGAATAGTTTGTAATTATCGATGTTCAAAAAATTGAACCGAATTGACCAATTTAGACCAAAAACTAATAAACCGGCCACTTATCCAATCTAGTTTACCTCTTGAACCAGTAAAAAGTTAAACCAACAGTGAACTGATCAAATTAGTGCAATCCGGTCAAAAGCGAGACAACCCCCGGGATAACCCACTAGTTTGATGGGTCAGTCATACTAGTTTGGAAAAAGAAAATAAAAAGAGCCAAAATAAAGAAATTTCGAGCTAGAAAAAGGAGGAGGGGGAGAGGAGGAAAATAGAGAAGGAAAATAAGACACCGGATCAAGACCTATATAGCCAAGAAGGTGGTACTTCGAGCAAAAGTTGAGGGTCCAAATGATAAAGAAGTCCCATACTGCCATACTGGTTTGAAGAAGAAAATTGCCCCAATACATAAGGAAGCTAGATAGATTAAGAAACAAAGTTACTACTCTGAAGAAGGTAAAGACATAGGTGAGGGTAGCTAAACAGAAGACTAGAATGGAAAAGATGAGCCAGACAAATCTTGAAGATGCAGACCAACATGCTAGTGAGAATGAAATGGGTTCTGGGCTTGAAGGTTAGAGGAAAGAATTGTGTTTAAATGATGTGAACCGGGGAGATGAGACTAGGCAATGATAGGGTAATGATAGAAGAACTAAAGCAATGATAGCTAGTCTTTAGCTCTTACAACATCATTTCAGCTTTTTTTAATTATTATATTGAAAGTTTAGTGTTGCCGATGATCTCTCCTCATTTAATTCTTTACAAATAATAAAATAATATTAACATGACACATTCTTTCATGAGTTTATTAGTTGACGCATTTTTACTGTTTAATAGGGTAATAATAATCCAATACAAATATTTTTGTACATTTTATTTAAATCATGTTTTTTAATTACCACTGGTTTGATTTCTGTAATCCCTTAGTTATAGACCATATTTGAGTTTATTTTACGTCAATTAGAACCACATTGGATGGGTTACAGCACAAGAAAACAAATATGGAATTTTTGTTTTCTCGGGTACTGTTCATTTGGTAAATCCAAATTTTTCGGCCAATTTGAAAATTTATAACTAATTCTAGAAAAATCAAAATAAGGTGGTTCCAAGTTTCACTAAAAGCTTTCAAAGAGATCTACATGAAAAAAAAAATACTTTCAGGGCTAACTCATTATGGAATAGTGCCGGAACTGTACGGAATTTACACTGTTCATATGGTCAAAACTGTTTTCCAAATTTAAAGCACTGACTTTGAAAAATCACCATAATCTGCACACATCTTCAATTCCAGTGAATTGCCCATGGATTTAAAGCTCAAGATGTGTATTTTAAGCATACAAAATTTCATGGCCAAATTCATATAGAAACTACTTCCAAATATTTATCAAAGTTTACAACTCCATAGGCAACAATTTCTAGCATCATTACATACATATATCAAGTTCATGCCATGGAATGTAAAACTGTGAAGCTATTCTTCCATTATGCTCTTCCCTCTTCAAAGTGCCTCTACCCCAACTTGAATCATGGTAAATTTGGGAAGAGTGAGATTTCATAGGAATCCCAATAGCAAGATAAAATCAACTAAGCATTAACAAACATCATGATCACACAACTTTACTAAAAGCCATTGTTAGGGAACTAATACGAGCTCATACCTTGTGAAACTCTAACATGAAATAGCCAAGGTATAACATTGGAAGGAGCAACCACAAGTCATACATAAACTTTCATATAGCTCAACCATCCAAAGGCAATAACATAAGTATAACAACAATGCAATCTTAACAACAAAGTTAATTAAATCTTGCTACCTCAAGTGAACTAAACCTTAACTCTCTCTCTTCTTGTTCTTGGCTCCTTTCTTCACAAATATCAAAGCCTATCTAACAAGGGGCATAACCATTATATTCCATATCATATCAAAACTCAATGTTTAAATTGAATAAAACCCTTAATCTCTTTTTCTTTAATTTTTTAGTTTTGTTTCCATCCATCCATAAATTATTCCCTTAGGCCAATCCTACATGATTTTTCACGTAGAATCCAAATATGACTTTAAAATTATGAAATTCATCTTCCTTCTTCTTGAACCACCCCTTAGTCCGAGACACTCTCTCTTTTTCACCTAAATTTCCAATTTTGATTCTAATGCTTCCAAGACTTGTTCCTTGAGTGTATCTTACATAATTTTTCATTCTAAACATATTGAAAGTATCAAAACAAGCAAAATCCAATCCTAGGTGAAAAGTCCTCTTGGCTATGGGGTATCCTAAATTTTCCAACAACAACAATATCAACCATAATCACATAATACCACTTGATTCAAGTCATAAACAACCTCTTAAACTAATTCCCATCATCAAAATCATCCTCCACCATTCCTATATAATTTCGGCCAGCAAGAGGTGAAGGGAAAATCATGGATTTTCAACCAGAAAACCCAAGATTTCTAAGCATTAAACCAACTAGGATTAACTACTAACCTTGGTTCCAAGTTTGGTTGATTGATTTATTGCTTTGTTCTCCTCTTTAAGCTTCAAGTTTTCAATTGTTGAGAGTTTCCCCTATGAGAACCAAAATGTGAGGGAGATGGGAGAGGAAGATGAGATTTTATAAAGGTCTTTGGACAATTTTGCCCTAAACCCTTTTCAAATTGCCAAAATTATGTGATTGGTTGATAATTGATATATATGACGTCATAATTCCTAAGGGCTTATGTCATGCACATCTTGAAACTTCTCCTTGGTTCTTCCACCTTCCAAGTGGCACCAAGAACAGCTTAGTCAAGAAGGAAGAAGATTTTTCACAATATATGCTGTATAACTTTCTATCAGCTTAAGTAACTTTTGTACTAGCAGCACCATAATTGTCCCTGATATTTTTTACCACTTATCCTCATCTTTTACCATTTACTTTTGAGTCATCACCCCTCATAATGATTGTCAAAAGAATAGAAATTCTAGTAAAAAATAGTAGCTAAAAGTATTACTTTTCCTTTCGAAAATGCTTTCTAGAGTTTCAGGACTTTGAAAATTTCTCTGTTAGTTTTAATATCTCTCTTTAATTCCAAAGAAATTTTGTGAATTTTTCTGGAATTTAACTCCTCCTCTAGATATTTCTTTTTGAATTTCCTAGATAAAAGCCTTAATTGGCCTAAATAAGCTTTAAATATTTTTAAAGCTAATCTGGGGGTAATTTGGGAACAAAATTATCTCTAAAATGTTTTAAACTCTCAAGGTATTTTATCCATATTTTTTCCAATTTTTCTGAGGCCTTGGAGCACATGAAATAATTAAATTTGACTAATTTTTCTTAGTTAGTCAAATAGTGTGAAAATTACTAGAAAATTAATATTAATTAATTTCCTTCATATTTTTGACTTCTGGGACCATCATCCTGTTCCAAAGAATTTTCTCTAATTTTTGGGGTTTTCTAGGAATTTTCATAGCTTTCTGTCATATTTCTGTAATTTATGCTGACTTGCTCAAAATACTGAAAATTCCATTTCGGTCCCTATCCTGATTTCACATTAAAAGTTGTGCAATTTATATTAATACTAATATTCTAGCTCTTAACCATCTTTAGAGTAAGTATACCTTAGTAACAAAATGCTGGATGTGACAATTTCAGTCTGATCCTGATCTGACCTATTAACCCTCAATCTATTGTCTTGACTGGTCTGATTTTTTGAACCTGGGTAATGACAAGTTCTAGAATAGAAAATAACAAAATTTAAGATTTATTTATTATTTTTCTTATTTGAAATCTCACTATAATTCTCCCCGAAAAAAGAGTTTACCAAGGTGAGGAAAGGGAAAATAAATAAATAATTGTGATGAACCTCCTTTTTTTTTAAGGGCAACTCCGGTAGAAATCACTACATTTTAAATTAGAAATTGTTATAAAAATATGTACAAATATAATTAAAACCTATTAAAGTGATTAAAATAATTCTGATTTAAAATTGATTAATTTTAAAGTTCTTTTTATGAAATTCTCCTTTTGTTGTTTGTATTTTTTTGGCCAGAGCATACATGTACCCTTATTTAATATTTTTGTGATTTAGTAAGGAAAATAATTAGAAAATATGGAAGAAAATTATGGACATGTTAGATAGAAAATAACGGGAAGAAGAGGTACTTGTGACCTAACAAAATGTTATCACCCATTCTGTTAGGATAAAAAAAAAACAAGAAAAAAAATAAAAGAACAAATATTTAAATGACTAAAATACTTTTATATGCAAAAATATATCATGTTTAACATCAAATTTAAATATCACAATATAAAAAAATCATACTCCTCCAGCTATTAGTATAAGACCTATTTAACTAATTTGATTAAATTAAGAAAATTAGGTAAGTTAGTTACTTATAAGAAATATGACATATTTTTTTAAAATACCATAACTATCTTCTTTAATATCCTTCCTCTCTTACTTACTTGATTATTGATTGATGGAATATCTATAGGGGTAATTTAGAAAAAAAATTGATAAATATAAAAATAGGTTTATATTTGGACCAAAATTAACTTCACAATTTGGTCCTATATTAAGGATCAGAGGAGTATAACATAAGCATTATCAAATAATTCATGTTGCTACATTTTTTTTTGGTCAACATGTTGCTACATTTTGAAACGAAAAAATTTAGAGAAAAATGTTATTTTGGAAGGTAAAGAAAAATAAAGGTGAATAATTTTTAGAAATTAGAGATAATGAAATGAAATAAATGAATTATGCGT